CACTCTTTCAGGTTTTATTTTGCCCTGGGAGTGTTCAGGAACCCTCCTGAAACCTTTTCTTGGTCAAATCTCATGGTCACTGTTCCTTTCTCACTCTCTTCCGCCTCTTAGACATTTCTAACATTAATCATGTTTTCATTGCTCTGTTAGCCTCTTCTGATTCTGCCTTTCCCAACAACCTCTCAGGTGTCTCATCAGAAAGACCTCTGACATAGTTTCTTTTAATTGATCTCATACTCACACCCAGGCTTACCCTATCCAACTCCACATGCCAATGTAACTGCAAGATGTCTTCTCCAATTCATAGACAAGATCAAGAGTGTATTTCTCTCTAGATTGCCTCCACTTCTCAACAACACATACCTGATTATTCTGTCAGCAGGGGGTGGAAGAGTTATTTGTTCTTCATCACCCTCAAGACTGTCCTTCAGCTTTCCCTTCCCTCAGACAAATGCCACTCCCAGGCAGTTACTACCACCCACCTAAATGAGGGGATGCTCAACAAGAGCATGCAATATTCTCCTCTCCAATACCCGAAAAAAATCCCATGCCATCCCAAAAAAAGTATACCACAAGAGGACTATCACCATGCTGGGAATCTCCGTAAACTACCAGCACTGAGTATCTGCGCCCAGAAACAAGTTAACTCTGCTAGACAGTGAGTCAACTGAATGGCAGATCCTCCATCACCACAAGTTTGAATACATGCTCTGCTTTGAGCACAACAAAGTTCTCAGCTGTTACACCAGTGCAGGCTGAAAGTACCCATGTGCTCCAGCAGCTGGTGTACTGGAAGCAAGAGTAAGGTGATCAATAGCATGACTTGCCTTGAATATAGAAAAGGCTTCTGATTTCTGTTAAAGAGGTATTAAGGCAATGGGGAATGTTAATTTACAGGACTGAATTGTTTCGAAAAGGGAATGCAGATCACTTCACATAGAATGTGCAAGGCTTAACTTGCCTGCCACAGTTTGATCAAGTGTTTGTAGACCACGATGATTTAGATGCTCAACAAGAGCATGCAATATTCTCCTCTCCAATACCCGAAAAAAATCCCATGCCATCCCAAAAAAAGTATACCACAAGAGGACTATCACCATGCTGGGAATCTCCGTAAACTACCAGCACTGAGTATCTGCGCCCAGAAACAAGTTAACTCTGCTAGACAGTGAGTCAACTGAATGGCAGATCCTCCATCACCACAAGTTTGAATACATGCTCTGCTTTGAGCACAACAAAGTTCTCAGCTGTTACACCAGTGCAGGCTGAAAGTACCCATGTGCTCCAGCAGCTGGTGTACTGGAAGCAAGAGTAAGGTGATCAATAGCATGACTTGCCTTGAATATAGAAAAGGCTTCTGATTTCTGTTAAAGAGGTATTAAGGCAATGGGGAATGTTAATTTACAGGACTGAATTGTTTCGAAAAGGGAATGCAGATCACTTCACATAGAATGTGCAAGGCTTAACTTGCCTGCCACAGTTTGATCAAGTGTTTGTAGACCACGATGATTTAGATGATAACAATGGGAGATACCATCACATAAGTATACAGTTAAAAAATTAAGTTAGTTCCATTAAATGGCTCAATTGCAATGTGATATATAGCCAGATGTGTCTTTAAATTGACACATATATTAGACAGTTTTTTAATAAAAGGCCTCTTTAAAAACCAGCTGCTTGGAACTCCTCTAACATGGTATCTTTAACGTGTTTTGGTCGCCCTTTTCTGCCAAGTCAAATAAACTAGAATTCACCAATTACACAAAAGGAGTAACTAACTGCTAACAAGACTTCAAAGATTGCTTCTGTAACACT